AGGGAGGATAAGGGCGGTGGCGCGCGATAACTTTGGATGACGGCATCGTCGAATCGACGCCGCATACTTGCGCTCTCCTATTGTTCTCTCTCGGCCGCATTATGCGCGTCATTCGCGCCGCCTTTTATTCAACGCCAAGATCAGCGAAATACGAATAAATCCAGGATTTATTCGTTTTTAATCATTCTCGTAGAAATGCATTTGGATTTCCCCTTCCTTTCTCCATTTTATTGGGATTCCTCCTCCTCGTCTTCTTCTTCTTCCCGAAATTTTTATCATTTTTTTTATCGCTCTTTATCATCGCTCGAAACGTTTAGATTTTTGCTTCTAGATTTAGGCGAGATTGAAAAAGAAATTTTGCGCGCTAATTTATATTTTTTTATATCGATAATTTATCGTTCGTAATAATTACGTATAAATGTTATTCAAGCGTTTTAATTATTTAAAGTAATAACTTTATTCGAAATTTTTAATCAGTTATTTTTTCGACAGATTAATGCTCAACTCTGATTAGAATCCTCCTCCTTCTTCTTTTCTTCTAACGGCCACTTCTGTTACTCGTGATTCGAAGGAGAGTGAAGAGTATTTCAGATAAAAGTGTTAATGGATCGATGCGATCCGATATAAGGGGACGAGTTTCTTTTTTCTTACGTCGAATTTTAAGCAAATTATCGTGATGATGCTCGTTATCGGAGGTAGATCATCTCAAAATTCCCTCTCGTCTCGCGATATGCCATTGACACCATTGCCAGGCCAAGGTTTGTCATTGAATGACTCGGTGTTCGCTCATTTTTCTTTCCTCCCGATTCGAGTCGTCCAAGGTTAACCGTGAAATTGTTGGCGAATCTTGCGGTAATCTCGAACACAGGTGTGCACCGAATTTCAAGCGCCAACGATTATCCAACGTTTGTAAAACGTTGTACGATTTCATTTCACGAATGGCCATTTAATTTATTTCACGGGAGATAGATTCTAGATAAAAAATTCGTCAAGTTGTTCGTACTTTAGACGAGGATCGTGAAACGAACGATACGATCTTTTCGATTACGAGTGATGATAGATGGAATTAAGAACGAAACTTCGTAAGAAAGATTTTAAAGTAATTACGATATTCGCATCGAATATTCCAAACTATTTACTCTTAAATTCGATTCCATTCGAAATATCCAATTTTTATAATATCTGTTAAGTTATTAGCAATAATTCAAAGAAACTCACTCGTGGTTATCCGCAAAGATAAGAAATTTAATTTAGGCCCGATAAATGAAACTCTTGCTCTCTTTTCACCCGCCGGTGTAATTAATAATTTCGGCGTTAAGCGTGGAGAGAGAAAAAAATTGCCGATGCATTACTCGCGCTCATCTCGAGTGCATCTCGAGATGCTCGTTCACCGCACTCTCTCGTCTCGTCTCGTCTCGTCTCGTCTCTCTAGGAAAGTGGTTTGAACCGTTAAAGCGGCGCTTTCGTTCCTCTCCAACTTGGAAACCGGCCTTCTTCCTCCCTCCGCCCAAGCTTTGGAAAACTCGATTAACAATCGAGCAGGGAAGAAACAATCTCGATCCTCATCCATTCTTGCGTGCGAACGAAACATCTTCCTCTTCTCGACCTACAAAGAATTCCTTAAATAGATCAAGCATATATATATATATCGTATTTTGTCATATCCTCTCGCGACTTCTTAAATAGACCAAGTATTTTATACCTACATATATATTTTTTTTTTTATTTATATTTTATACCTATATATTGAATCGTATTTTGCCATTCTCTCTCTCTCTCTCTCT